AAGCATCACGTGCCACGCTCCATCGATTTGGTATTAATATTGAACTACGTGATCATCTCATATATATACTTATAACATGTTAAGTTATGTTGTTAGAGTGAACATAGTTTTAATTATATATTATTATGTCTGAACAGGTAACACGTCTAGTAGTAGCATTTGGTACGAGTTGGCTTATTTGGAGGCTAAGGAGAAAATCCAAAGAGGCGATCGTGTGTGGCAAATTGCATTTGGGTCAGGTTTTAAGTGCAACAGTGCGGTTTGGAAAGCTATTCGTCGCGTTAAGAAGCCTTCAACTAATCCTTGGCTTGGTTGCGTTGATAGGTATCCACAGTCTCTCACACAATAAACGTGAGTTTAATTTTATGATCGATTTGGAGTTGGGAGATTCGATGGGAATTTATGAATGACTATATAAATGTATAGTCTAAGAGTATTGATATTATAATTAAGTTAAGTTGATTTATGGAAATTAATTAAGGTACTTATTTTATTAAAATATTGATCTCGATCACATGGATTGTTAATGAAAATTAAGTGTTCCAAGTTTAACAAACATATGTTGATCCCTTCTTTAATTTCTTATCGTCTATAATTTGGGAAATAAATGTATTACGAACATTTTATATTGGTGATAAATAAATATTTATGTATTTGTTGTTCATGTTTGTATTAATTAAGTTTGTCATCTTCTCAAAATTCTTGCTTAATTCCTATATTTCTTGTATTAGCATACGATGCTATCGGATTTACTAGCCCAATTAATTTAAAGAGAAAATTAGATAAAATATTCATTGGGTCATAATCCTTTGTTCAAAATAATTCAATCATCACTTACACAACACGATCATGTTTATTTTTCATCTCTTATATTCTCCCTTTCTTTGTTTTTTTAAGAGTGTCTTTGGTAGGAAGAAGAATATTTCTCATCGAAAACATTCTCCTAATTTTTCAAAAAAAAAAATAAGTTGACTCCCCCCCCCCCTAATATTTGGTAAGTTAGCAAAAATGTGTTATCTTAAGAATATTATATATAATTTAATAGAACACTATAGGGTGAAAAGGGTGGAGAACGGAGCCTCAGGGGTAGCGAGGGTGAGATGGTAAAGGGGTAGGGATTGGAGGCGTTGGGTGAGCGGGAAAGATACCATAAACATAGAACATCGCTTATATATAAGACTTATTTTCCCTATTTTTAATAAAAAAAAAGTCATTTTCTATAATTTTAAACAACTTGTTTTCTTAGAGAAAATATTTTCATTATTCAGACATGAAAATATAAGAAAGCATTTTTAGAAAAATCATTTCTACCATACCAAACACACCCATAATGTCAATTATTTGCAATGTCCCAATCATTAAGCCACTACTTTCATGTCTCCATGGTTTCTTTTATTCTTTATTTCTTTACACTTTTATTCAATTTCATTCCAAATCTCTTCATCTTTATATCACTTCATTCCTACACATTAAAATATAATATTAATAAATAAATAATATAATCAATACTCAACAAATAATTAAAGGTATTAAAATGTGAGAAAAATAATAACTAAAATATATATTTATGTCCGAAGATAACTACCTCACATTTAAATTCTGGTTCGTTCTCGAAGAAATACTAAAACTCAATTTGTATATGCAATATTATAGAAACAATTTATATATATATATATATATATATATATAGCAAAACAAGACAACGATATACAAGCTGTAATAGAACAACTCAAAAAGACAGAAATAACTCCACAAAAGGATAAACCAAGAATAACAAAAAGGGATAAGGCATGTACATTTTTTCAAACAAGAATAGAAGTTCCCAAGAAAGACAAAGGGTCAGTTTATCTCAAGATAGATTAGGAAACAATATGCTAGCTAGAATAATGAATTCATCTAGACCTAGTAGCAGTCAACAATTAGATGAAATAATAGACGTAGATAAAGATATAAAAAATTTTCAACAAAATAAATTAAGACTGTTAAATCCACAAGTACTGTATAATACATGACTATTTTCTTCAACAACACACTTATACAGACATTACAGAGAAGAGGAGAGAGAAGAGAGAGCAAAAAGAGTAAGAAAGTAGAAGCAAGCAAGAACATATTAGTTTTATTTCAAATTTTCCTTTTAAAAAAAAAGTGAGTGTTTGTATAAAAAGAGTGTGAGTATATATATCTTGTATATACTATTTATGCAATATTGATACATTACATAATTATTTATATAATATTGATATATTACAAAACTATTTATACAATATCGATATATTACATAATTATTTGTATAATACTAATACATTAGATAACTATTTTTACAATATTGATATATTATATAACATTACATATACAGACAATCATTTTATTAGATTTTTTTTTATAATGTATAATTATATAAAAGTAAATTTACGTCGAGCCTATTTAAAGGAATGCACACCCAACCAAGAAATAAATAAGCTCTCTCCTTAGCTCCAAAGCTTAAGATAAATGTGTGTGTATACTCAGTCTTTTGATTGTGTGAAAGGTGATATAGGGAATATGCTTGGAAGAGCTTAAGGATCATGATGTTTACCTGTCTTATTTAATCATTCAATAATCTCTGGAATATGTGACGAAGAAGACAAAATTGATTATTTTTCTTTTTTTTATAAAAAGAGACAACATAGCCTGGAAAATTGTGTGTATGATAAGATAGTGTGTTCTAAGTTTCGTTACTCCTATTGTTTAAAGGAAATTAAAGGATATGGTATACTGTTAACCATTTAATTTACTTTTTTTTTTTTTGAATTCTTCCTAAGATCACTTACTTTTGAATAAGCGATATAAAGATTATTTTCATTTTATAATAAGATCTATTTGTCCCAAAAAAAAATTCTATTAACAAAGAAAAAAAAACAAATTATGAAAAAATTATAAGTCATTTTAGAAACAATTGATAGAAACTCTTTAAACAAAAAATGTAATAACAAGTTGCTCTTCCTTCCTTCTTTTTTCCTCTTGATTTCGTGTAGTGCAGGTGATCAGTTGAATATATAGAAATTAATTATACGAAGTAAGTGTGTATTTATATATATATATATATATATATATATATATATATATAGTAGGGAAAATTACGCGATTAAACAAACTTATACTACTTAATTACTCATCATAGCTATAGTTTGCTATAATTATCACTCGCGACTAACATTATACATTAATTACGTGGGGGTGGCTTCGAGTTTGTAAATGTATAATTCATCATATTTGTATAATTCGCAGCCAACAATTCTTTATTTGATTTGTATTTGTATATGATTGTTTATATTTGTATATGACGGTGATTTCTTTTGGTTTTTCAGTTTTGTCATCATCTACATTCAATCATTTTGTGTATAACTTTTTAAAGTTTGTATAAACGTGTAGTTTTTGGATTTTGTATAATATAATTTATATAATGTAATTTGAATAATATATTTTGTATAATTGTTTAAAGTTCAAATGTTTATGTTTGTATCAATTCGTTATTTCGAGTTTTATTATATTTGTATAGTTCTAGACTTTATATTACTCAATTATACAAAAATACATGAATTATACAAACGCACATGAAAATTATACAAACAAGATGCGAATTATACAAAGTATTGTCCTCTCTCGCTTGCCTCTGTCCTCCCTCTCCCAATCTCGCTCGCTCTCTCCTCCTTTTCCCAATCTCTCTCGCCAAAATATACAAATACATATGTATAATATACAATTATTTAACCGATATACATATACAATTCACCTCTCTCCCACTGACCCACTCTCTGCCCTCTCTCCTCCCTCTTCCAGTCTCGCTCGCCACTCTCCTCCCTATAACATGTAGCTACGAATTGTAATTAGCAAACTATAGCTATGGAGTGTAATTAAGCTATTTTTGAGTGACTATATGTGAAAGTTCCTCTATATAGTATCGATATTGTATAAATAGTGTATACTAGTGCATAGATAAAGTATAACTATATATGAGAGACATATATATACCTCTATAAACATTGTTGTTCACTTCTGATCAACTCAAAATTTCATCCAAACAATCTCAAAACTTAGATATAGCACTCAATATTTCAAGTCTTTAGATATATATTTCACTCAAAACTATTCACGTTTATGACACGTTAATTTAAACATTTGAGCTTTAAACATAGAAGAAAAAGAAGTCATTAATGGCTAAAAAAGAAGATCAATGAAGGTGAAAAAGAAAGGCGCAAGTTATACTTCACTTACAATTGAATAGTGTCGAATACCTATTTTTAATAAAAAATAATTGTTGAGCTATTTTGGGAAAAGCCAATTATGACTAAAGGATCATTTTGTTCAATTTTCTACTGTCCCTTTTCCTTCTCAATTCTTTAATATAACCAAAAAAAAATGAGAAAAAAGTGATGATCCTTTTTTAAAACTAAACTTATAGAAATCCTACTAATTTACGGGTAATTTTTTAGATTGTGCTAATTTGTAATATTATAAATCATAAAATTTGAATACATATATTTGGTGTGTTCATACATGTAACTCGAATACATTAGGTTACAATTAAATGTAATTTGTTCTAGATATATTATATCCAAGCGGATTCGCATGTATCTGACTTTCTCTCTCGCTAGCCTCTCTTCTAGATACATTGAAAATCTTGCAGGCCTCTCTCCCAGATTCATGATGTATCTTGTACAATTCATATCTATTTGAAAATTTCAATAGTCTCTCTTATTTTCACTCGCTTATCTCCCTATTTTAGTGTATCTCATAGCTAAAATACATATATTTAAATGTATTTAACTTAAAATCTAATAAAAATCATTAATCAGTGAGACAATATGTAATTATTTTAAATTATAAGGAGAAATGTTGGTCTAATGAATTTTTTTTCCCTTTTAACGAAGCTTGCAATAATTAGCACCAGAAATTGTAAAATATTTCTTGTGAAAATACGCAACCAAATAAAACACAAAATTTTCTAAAAATATAAGTTAAAATACAATGATGAGAACCATTAAATACCAGATCTCTCATAATTGACAGAAAAGCAAAACTGGGAGACATACATATAATAATTAATTTCTCCCTCGTCTATTATTTTTCTCTAGACCCTGCGATTTCTAGCAAACGCCTTTATTACTGCTCTTTTTTTTTAATAAATAAAATAAAATAAAAGACAAAGAAATTGAGAAATTTAAAATCCTCCTTCCCCAAAAGAAAAAAAAACAGCAATTTGGGGCTTCAATATAAAGGCCAAAGATTTGATTATAATTAAAAAAAAAAACCGTCAATCTTCTTCTTTTCAAGCCAACCACTCCACATCCATTCCTTCAATTTCTTCAATGTCCATACTGTAACAACACAAGAAATTTAAATAAAATAAGAATATGGAGAAGATAGTAGTTTTTGTTACATATTCATAACAAATATTCTCTGAATATAGTTATAAAAAATACCCTTAAAAAAACAATGAAAATATAATATTTTAAAAGTCAGATTTGATGATGATGATGATGACCATAATGATGTGAATAAATAAAAAAAGCATCAACTTTCTTCTTTTTAGTTAAAGAAAAAGAAATATAGAAATATGATTTATCAATATTCTTTTAATTTGATGTTTGGTACTTATATCTAATTTGAAAGGTAAAAACTTTATATATACTAAGTGTGATTTCATTTTCAGATTTCAGAATAACTCATAAAATTTTAGATATTCATAAAGAGATCATGAAGACATCAAATTTTTCTTTCTCTAAGAAATCTCGAATAGCTCATAAATTTTTAGGTATTTTTAAAGATCAAAATCTCAAATAAATTTTTAGGTGTTCACGAAGACAGTATTAAGACATTAGTGATTTTGAATCCCTTAAACTCTTGAGATAATCAGTAAGATATCAAACTATATCACTTTTCTTTTCTTGATAATCAAATATTTCAAGAAAATCAATAAATACAGGAAAATTTTAAAAGAAAAAAAGATAGGCAGAGATAATTACAAATTCAATATTTTCTCAATGACCCAACAAACTCCTAGCCCAAAAAAAGAAAAAGCACAAAAAGATTATTAAAAAAAAGTGGGCCCAATGGGTTGTCTGTTTCATTTGTTCCACCGTTTGACGTGTCAATGCTAGCAAAGACCCATACTTCCGTATACGAATAGTCTAATACCAACAAAACATGATGCATCTGTTTCTTGGCCACGGAAATTTCCTAAAATAAATTGTGATTCTTCTCAGAAAACTGATGTTAGAAAAGTCGGAAGGATAACTCGATGCATTAAACTTTCGCTACTTATATATAAAGTTCAAAAAATAAGATTATATTTAACATGTTATAATCAACTATATCCTACATTTCTGTGAGACACTATTTTTTGCATATAAAAATAAACAAAGAGCATCTTGTACAGTAAGATGACATAGGAACAAAAAACATTTCCTTATGTTTTAAACATAAAAAGCAACCTAAAAATAAAAAGTGAAAGAAGAAATGAAACAACAACAACAACAAACATCCTACATCCATCCTAGTGTAATTTCATCAGGTTAGGATATACGTCGATTTTATTAGGCTATTTTCGAAAGATTCACGATTCAAGCAGGTCATACAGATGTAAAGAAGACATAGCAAATAATAACAAAAACAGAAGTGAAATTAGTAAGAAATAGTTACCATGGTAAGGTAGGATGAGAATAGGTATCATCGACATGTTGTTGCAAGCAGGTTTCATTTGGATTAAACCAAGGAGGGAATTCCATGACTTCATCAAATGGATAACATCCATAATCCTCAGCAATGTTCTTCTCATCAGGTCCCATTTCCATTGCCTTCAAGAACTTGAACCACCAAGCTGAAGTTGCCAAATTGAGTGTGTCATTCCACTCCATCTCATGTTGTTCCCCTACTGATCTGATCTCTTCCATTTCTTGGTCATCCATTGATGGATGCAACCTTGAATTCACCATTTCACCAATAGGACCAACCCCTTCTCCCACATAATGGAATTCATCTGAAGAAGATGATGATGAAAAGATTGAATTTTTATTGCTGATGCTACAATAAGGGGTTGCGTCTAAATTGTTGAAATCATGGAAATTGAGATTCAATCCTAATGTTTGGTTGGGAAGTGGAAAATTCATGTTGTCTTGGAAAGGTAATTGGGAACCAAAGGATGAAACAGGGCAAGAATAAGGATATTGAGGAAGACAAGGGAAGGTTGAATTGGAGAAATTTTCCATGTTGTAACATGGTAAGTTATTAGCCATGGTGTTGGAAGCATAAATCCTGGGGTTTCTCCGGGATTTTGGCTTCCCTTGTTCTTCCCCTAAAGATTCCTGAGGCCAAGTCTGCAACGACTGTGGCTCAGTGTGTGATTGTTGTTGTTGTTGCTGCTGTTGTTTCATAGACGCTCTATGAAACTTAAGGGCAGTGACAATCTCACGCCGAGCCTCGGCCATATTTAAAAGCCTCTCTTGATAAGGTCTACTAGTGTGGAGTCTCCTCCTCACTTGTTTCTTTTTAATCTGTGGTGGTGCTGCTGGCTGTGGTGATGAAAATTGTGTATCACTACACAAAGTATCATCAAGTTTTGTTGAATTCTCTAGTGAATCATCATGGTCTTTAGGATTCAAGGGATCTTTGGTTCTTGAAGAAGTTAACTGTTTGACTAGGCTTCTAATATAGGCACCAGAGAGATGAGGCTCTTGTTTTAGTTTATCAACCTTTGCTACTTCCATAACTCCTCCTTGCTTTGGTGAAGATCTTCCCCTCATCTTTTACTGAAATGGCTTTGCTTTTCTCTCTTTTTGGGATCTTTTTTAGGATGGAAATGGACGTCAATATAGCAAGAAGGTCGGTCTAAAGAAACATGTCATTCATTTTCTGAGGAGCCAAAGTACACACTATGCAGAGGAGAGGCAGAGGTTAGGAAGGTCTCTTAGGTGCATATAAATAGCTAGAGACAGTCTAGGGTTTTTAAATACTTTTGGAGTTTTCCTATTTTTCTACTATTCTTTTGTTACTTAGTCTTAGATGGGGGTAGTTAGGAAGAGTTCATAACAGATTTTACTCTACAAAATGACAGTTACATGTGTAAGCACCCTTCTCCTTTTTTTAATAGGATCAAGTTAAAGGAGGTATGAGACATAATCTTCCATAATAGTTGGAGGATCCACTATAACAACATCAAGTGTAGCCCGATGCACAAAGCATCCACATTAGTAGGGTCCGAGGAAGAACCGCACCACATTGGGTGTGATGTAGACAACCTACCCTAATGCAAGCATTAGTGATTGCTTTCACGACTCGAACCTGTAACCTATAGGTCACACAAAGACAACTTTAGCTATAAATAAATTTGAGTATTGAGCCAAATCAAGTTGAGTCGAGTTAAGCCTATCAAACTTGCTATGGTAACAAGTTAAATCAAGTCCGAGGTGAGCCCAACCATGAGTCCATACTTTGAATCCCTCTGTTCATTTTTACTTGTTTTGGATAAATTAATCTCATTCCATAAATAACACACAAAGTTGGTGTTATGATTGGCTCAACCACATCTATCACTTAAGTTGTCAAAGTCAAATTTCAAACCTTTTGTTCTAAGCATAGTTTTCAAAAAGATATGCCAAACTAGAGAACAAATCAAATTCTTCATCATCAAAGCCAACAATTTGACTAGTGTCCATTACACTCAGCCAAATCAAGATTAGAGAAACTCCAAAGTGTGAAATAATGGACTTTCACAGGATTCATGTACATTGATGACTTCGGTGGTGCATAATAGTCTGTCTATGACACTAAGGCATGTTCATGTGACCTTTTGGTTAGGCTAGAAAAGTCTCATTATATATATGCGGTGTTCAAAAAATAAAACGACTAAAGAAACAAGAAATGAAAACACAATTGGGAGAAAAAAGAAAAACAGTCTCAAACCAACCAGACTTAGTTCAAGGGGCAAAGGTTGAGGGACTTGTGATTTAGGCCACTGGCTCGAGCCTTGTAGTATACGAACTAAGCCTGATTTTTAAGTGGAAAAGGGTAAAAGAGTGAATCCATTATTTCCGAGTTTCAAAGGATGCTATTGGTCTTAAGGGTTGCCACCCATCCAAAAGAAAAGGCAGTCCACTAGCCTCCACCATAATTAAGGCCTGCAAAAAGACCTTCAATGCTCAGAAAATCACACATCTTATACTTATCTAACCGTTGACAAAACAATTCTCAGAATTACCTAAGAAATGGTTAAGGCAGGACATATCAATCATTCAACTAGAGAAAGAATCAGGGTAGGGACGTTTGGTAAAGTGTATTAGAATAGTACTAAATAGGATGTAGTATTAATTATGTTGGGATTAGTAATTCAGGAATGTGTTATGCTGAGATTAGATATGTTGGAATCATTTCTTATCCATTGTTTGATTTGGTGTATTGCGGACAATTTTGTCTTTAATCATGCATATTGCTATGACCCTTGTATTACTAATATCATGATTTGTTATGTATTGGTTACACTCTATGATACTGAACATGGTGTATAACTAATATTCTATCAAATAAAGAATTAAATAATACCATATCTAATATGTATATTAGATTCTCTCATACATCCTACCAAAGGATTTGTATCTCTAAACTACTTGTCTCTTCATTTCCATAAAGCACTAGGACTGTAGCAAAATGTTCATTTTCTTTATTCATTTCCAACAATTAAAATTAAGGAAAATAGACACACATACGTCAAGGCAGAAAAACAGAGTTGATCTATATATTCTATACATATCTTGTACAAGATATAGATGTATGTAATAATCCTCAATTACAAACTGATTAAGTCATTCTATTTCATGCACAAAAGGGCAAAGATAACTTCATGACATGGCCCTGAACCTCTCAAGTCATTAATTTCATAGACCAATCACTACTGTAGTTATCAGATATATATTAACACAAAATTTATTCTAAAAAGTATTTTAAGCAGTTAAGATTTTTGTTATTTTAGTATTGTTAAATCAAAATAGAATGGTTGAAATAGAGAAGTAGTACTAAGGTGTTAAGTGAAAGAAGGATCCCTATCAAATTGAAAGGTAACTTGTAAATTAATTGTAAGACTAACAATGTTATATAAAAGAGTAAATGCTAGTTTCTAAAGTCCGATATATCTGCAAGATGAATGTTGTAGAGATGCGGTTACTAAAATGGATGTGTAATCATACTGACTAAAAAAAATTAAAAAATAACTAAATCAAAAATTACATATCGAGTATAAATGAGAAAAAGACCAATTTAAACTGTTTAGGTATGTCTTGTGTCAATCACCATATGGATCATTTGTAGGTGTGAAATCATGGTGATTAAAAGTATTAAAAGAGAACGAGGTACACCTTAATCGCATGGAAGAAAACGTCTTGAAATTCATGCAAACCTAGCGATGAATAGAGAGGTGAAATCAATTAGTTGGGAATATGTTTTAGCATGTTAATACGTTTACTTTTAAGTCTTTATCTTTTCTAGGTGTCTGAAATTTCTATGCTCGTAGAACAACACGATCAACGAGAAATCATATAGCCGACCCAGATTACATTAAATTGAGGCTTTTAGTTGTTGTGGTTGAAGACTTTTGATACTTGTTCCATTTTTCAATTGATTGAACAAGAGGGCATTTTAGACATACAACTTTATGATGGTTTTGAAGTAATGCTAGTAAGTTGGTACCATGGGACCAGGATCAAAACGTCAGCAGAAGGCCTACAGAAACTGACAGGAGAATCTCCATACTATTGTAACAATTTTTCTTTGTATAAACAATTGTATGTGAGCATAATAATAATATTTGTTTAATAAAATCCAATATTTATGTACAAATTGTTGATATGACTAGTGTCTGTTACTTAAAACAGAGAACTTGGACCTTTTGGAAAGGCTATCTATACACACACAGCCTGTTAAAGACAGAAATGTTCCATACCTCCCACTTCCTTTTCTTTCATATATATTTCTGCTTTTCTTCCAAACAGTTTCTATTTAATTTCTAATGCTACTTGGACCTGCCAGTGGCATGGAGTCTTTTTCAAGATTAGAGTAACAGCAAATAGGTAAAATGGATTAGCAGAGACTCTATCAAAAACAATTTATCTATCTTCACAAGGTAGGGGTATGATTACGTACACACGAGATTCCACTTATAAAATTACACGGAGTAATGCGTATGTTGTAGTTATAATAAAGAATCACCACTAGAAAGAGGGTCATTAAATAACATAGCCCAACTCTCAAAGGGTAACCAAACTATCAAAGGACTAGAATGACAAACTTGGAAACTATACTTCAAAGTCAACTAGAAACGGTGGTAGGTGAATTCTCCCATTTGCCCAAATTTTGTGTAAAGAATTACCATAAAGTTGTGTCTACGAATGACAAAAGAGCGGGTCGGATAGAAAAAGGGCAGATCAAAAATGGGTTGAACAAAAACAGATAAAATATTCAATCAAACTCTATTTATCACAAATAAAAAATGAGTTAATCAATGGATAATATAAATTTGATCCATTTTTTAAGAATCGAATATCCAACTCGTATCTGATGGATCGGATTGGATGGGGTTACTCGTTCTTTTTAACCACTTTACCAGCCCTAGTTGTACTGGTGAATTGACTCAGACACCAACGTTATAAAAAAAATAAAAAAATTAGATCCTCTAATGTCTATTCACTACCAAATGCCTACAATTTAGAATATTACTGAATAAAATAATTTCAATTAATTGCACTTAAGGGTGTAGCTTAGTGATCAATGAATTTTAAGAATTATGAAGTTTCAGATTTAAATTCTAGTAGAGATAAAAATCCTAGGTGATTTCTTTTCATCTATAACTTTGGTGGGTAGAGTTACCTGATACATGATGTTGGTGGAAAATGGTAGATATCCCGTGAAATTAGTCGAAATGAACGTAAGTTAACTCAATCACTGCAATTATAAAAAAAAAGTAATTTCTGTCAAACTATAAGCTTCAAATTGATCAAAACTTGTCTAATTAATAATACGTTCAATTAATCTCCAGGTTTTGGTTCACCGGTAAGAGCGTATTGATAAAAATGTTGTCTAATTAATAATTAACAATAAATTCAATTAATCGTCAGACTTTGATTCAGTGATAAGAGTGCACTTAGTATGTAGATTAGACGCTCATCACGAATTTGAATCCTATTACAAACAAAAACTTGATATTTAGGCGTGGAAAAGTAGAAGGATGAATTCATTATCCACTGAGTTTCAAACCGTTCCTATCCTGCAAAGATTTATAGCAAAATAAAAATTAATCAACTATTGGGGTTACACCCCCGACACCTTCTGTTATCTTCACGAGTATGACACTGTAGTGTACGTAGGAAGCAAATGCAGTAATCTGTCGAAACTTACAAGTTCATTCCAAAAACTATGAAATTAATAAATAATACCAAAATACTATCATACAATTATACAAATATTGGGACAAAGCCATGAGATTTCACCAAAGTTTGAATTTCAGTCGGCATTTGGACAAGTGATTTTATATCGTGATTTGAAATTACGAGATGAAATCAGGATATGTGATTTCATCGAGATGACATATCAAATTCTCTAAAAAACTTAATTTAAAATTTTCATATCATGATTTCATATTTTACAAATACAAAAATTAACCCACAAATTTATATATTGCATTAAAAATCCATTATTCTATATCTGTATAATTTTTTTGTGAGAATACAAAAGGAGTGATGAAATATTCACGGAATATGAACATGATGATGTAGTTACTAATAATATTGACCATACTCAAATTTGATCAATAAATGTTGTATTTTCTTTAGAATAACTTTGTGATAGTGTGTTATACTTTTGTTGTGAATTTTTACTTATTTAGTAAATTGTATAAAGAATTGATGCAGTTGTGATAGTTCACAACTAAGGGAATTCTTATGTTTATGAGCAAAAATACAACTCAAAAATTAAAAAATTGCATGTCCAACAAAACTTTAACTTCACCGAATATGATTTCAAATTATAATTTCTATCTCACGTAACCAAAACGTACCCTTAATTTAACATTCCTAATTGCAATATATCCTTGGGCCTTTTCACTCCAACACAAGCAATTTTTATTAAACCAGCTAAAAAAGATCAAAGTTATTTCCATTTTTGTTATTATTTGTGTGATGTTTTCTGTTCTATGATCCAAACCAGTAAAGGATAACTGTGAAAGCTGTGTTATTTGCTCAATTCACATGGAAATGTCCAATCATCACCAGAGGGAAAAAAAGGCTCTTAATGGTATCCAACCTTTCACATAACTGTGCAAGTTAAAGGTGTCAGGCAATCAATATTAGCAAATGGCAATAATTATTCAAAAAAATACCAATTATAGGAAAAGGTTAAGGGTCTATTTGGAAAATCACCTGATAATTGAAATTGGTGTAATTACTAGGGTAGTAATTATCAGTCTAGTAATTACATTGATGTGTTTGTTTGCCTCAGTGTAACTACACATGTCATGTTTGGATGCTATAGTGTAATTACACATGTTCTGTTTGGATACACAATTGCAATCATAAAATTCTATTAAATTTAAAGATAAAAATTAATTATTTAAATTTATACTAGAGAAATAAAAAACTTTATAAATACTATTAAATTAAATATTTAAGATATATATTATTTTTTGAAAATATATTAATTAAAAGCATACATTCTTAACTAATTTTATGAAAAATAACTGATTTATATTTTTTCAAATTAATGTATTTCAATTGAATTGATCATAAAAATTAAAAGTATGAAATTTCTACGAAAATCGTGAAATGCATGTTTGATAAAAAAATTAATATATAAATAAAATGTCATAAATTATTAAATGTTCGAGAAAAAGATCCAAGTCTAATTAAAAAATGACTTGCAATGTGAATTCAATATTACTAAAACAAATGAAACTGAAAATATAACATAAGTTATAAATTCAAAATAAAAAATTTAACATAATACTCTTATTGCAAATTTCAACATAGCATACTTTAATATTATTTAATTTTATTTATTTTTTAGGGAAAGAGCCTGATATACCCCTTAACTTTATCAATTAGAGCTGATATACCCATCATTATGAAAGTGGCTCATA